GTATGAAGTGACGATTCAAACACTGATACAACTACTTTTGCTTTTCAGTCACCAGCAGTATTTGTTCTTCATTTTAAGAGCTAGCTATACAAACACCCTGCTGCTTCCTAATATTAACATAATCAAAATCAAGCCTTTGGTGACATCCCTAACTTTATTCCAAATGCATAATAATAAATGGACATGCAGAAACCATTTTTGGATTTATAAACCAACCAGTTGGTTTGGTGGGCTGTATCATGTTGTTATTTTATGCTGCTTTTAAGATGTTTACAGAAACGTCTGTATGGCAATAACTAAACATCACAAAAGTATTTCAACACAGAGAGGAAGAGAAAATGTTCCCTTAGTCATCTATCTTATTTGGCCGTGTACCAACAACATGTAGTTTAAAAGATTCATGTTCAAAAAGATTGCAGTTTAACTCTCAGAAGACATCCATAATCATTTACAAACACTTTCTTTCATAAACAGTCATGAACCAACAACTTGTTCCCATCATTCCACTGATGATTTGGAAAAAGGGAAACATGGGCCTGGTAGTTCAAGGCTACATTCAGGATCTTCTATATTACACCTTTTCATATTGACCTATTGGATGACTTCATCAAATATGGCACATTAGTGGAGAGCAGCACTTTTAGGAAGAGGAGAACAGAATGTCCTTAGACAGCGCTCTGCAAAAAGGAGAACTTGAAAGTCTCAACACAGAAGTGTTGATGCAGAGTTGCATTTTGACCCAACCCTAACCAATAATCTAAATACAGAAGAACAAATGATCTGGTACAGCTTATGCAGAATAAAACACAGTTCATGTATTTATGGTTCATATATTGATGGTACACACACAATGGATGATTCTCTTTAAAATCACACATTTATTCACACCAATATCCTTTCTCCATGACTGGCCTCACACATAGAGAGATGCTCTTTATATGTTAACCATAAATCTGCAGATCAGCAAAAGAGCTTTTAACAAACCACTTCCTGCTTCTCATAAGACCCCTGCAGACCACTTCCTGTGGAGCTCAGACATGCAGAACCACAAATTAGTAAATTAAAACTGAGTGTAGATTCTGTGCAAAGAGACATTTCAAGGACCACCTACTACTAGAATAAAAGCAAATCAAATCTAGTTTCATTTGCATTTCACAATTCAAATTTTAATACAGTCAAATGCAGATGAAAGTCACATTGTAGTCACATAAAAAAATTTCAATCTAAAGCAGCCCAGCTAATAACTGAGTTCTTGACTTTACAGGAAATGAAAAGTCATTTCCTGTAAAGTCTTGATCAAGCCTGTGGCGACAGAAAAAAGGAATGACTCACTTTAAATACACTCTTTGTAAATTAATGAATTTCAAAGTGACAAAACATAGGAAAAGCGATGGATTCTTTTTTGTCTGTGTCTTTTAAATTGTTGTGTTGTTTTCTTACTCACATAGACTATAAAATATTTTAAACTGTTACCATGGCTTGTCAAAAAGACATCTGACTGGTTAACAATAATTTTCTTGCCATTTGAATTTGATGGGCGAGGCTGTCAGAAAAAATACATTGGTTTGATTTGGCCTGCAACCAAAACATGAAATATCGACTTAAATGAGAATATATTTTACTGGTATATGGAAACATAAACCTTTTTCTCCCTTTAGTACCCTCCCAACTGCGTGAGAAGAGTAAATATTTGTAGATCATCATCATTAAAGTATTATATATTTAAAAAGTCATGTATGAATCTCCCTGTGAGAGACTGGCGACCTGTCCAGGGTGTACCCCAGCAACCCATCCGACCCCACTAAGGGATGAGGATGGATGGATGGATGGATGGATGGATGGATGGATAGATGGATGGATCTGTATAGCTAGAGAAGCTGCTGCAGGAGAAAGTTAAGGTTGTAGTTCAAACTAATGTGCACTTCTGTAAATTAAGATTTCAATGTTACCTGTCATTTAATTTCAGCTTTACAATTTAGAGCATTTTTTCATAATTTTTTTGTAGACCGTAGCGAATGTAGGTGTACACACTCACAGTTGTATATTTATTTTAATATCTAATTGTAAAATAGAACTGAGTAGCCAATTTTCTTTTAAAAATCTCAAATTATGCCCAAATTTGCAGTTACTTTTATTTCCAGACTGTTCAGTTAAAACCATGCAGATGTTTCTTCTTGAACAGAGCACAGTTTAAATTGGAACGAGTTGTTTTTGTGCTCTGCAGCTTGTAGACGACCTCACATGGAAGCTCGTTGTCCTCAGAGCTTTCTTTTATTTCTGTTACTTTAAAAACCTCATACGGAGGGACCAGGACTTCACTTTCTGTCTCAAACTCAGAGAACTCTGAGATGCTTGCTCCAAAACAGGTGGAGATCTCAAAGCATGACTGGGTGCCAAACTGTTCATCAGAATAGTCACCCATCGAACTGGAGGAAAAAGCGCCGAGACGAATCTGTTTGTTGAGAACATCTCTGCTGAATTTACAGCGTGTTCTCCGGTAAACAGTGACACAATGTTCTTCTGCTTTCCGTTTGATGGTGCGCAGAGCCATGGTGAGGTAGAAGTGCAGAGTGTGATATTGAAATTTGGTTTTGTACACAGATTTATTTGTTCGGACTGCTTCGTTGAAATCACAGTATAAAGGTGGGTCTTCAAGGGTGTACGCATGAAGAGCCATGATTTGTTCTTTCTTCAGCTGCGGGTTATTTTCCCATTCACTCTTGTAGTATTCCTCAGCTTTATTCCAAGCCTGTTTGAAGTTTTCATTTGTGTTTTGCTCATTTGATAAAAATGTCTTTACTTGTCTCTCCATGTCATTTTCACATTTGTCGTACATGTCATCCACAGAGTCTGTAGCCATATCCAGTTTGATTGGGCAATCCGGCAAAGTTTTACATTCCTGCCAAAATTAAGCATAAACAAAAAGAAACACATTACTGGTGTTCATGTTCAGCATGTGTGATTGTACAACAATTAAACAAGTAAAATTTTCCTCACCTTCATCAACTTTGCTTGTGGAATCCCAACACAGGATCCAAATAACATGAACACAGTGACCCAAATGACCAACTTTGCCATCTTGACTCAGCAGACAACTCTGAAAACAAGCAAAAAAAAGTTTGGTCCGCGTGACTTTAATGTTCCAGTGTAGTTTTCCCCATAAATTAGGTGTTGTTGCCACCAACAAAGCTCTGGTACCTCAGCTTTTAAAGCAGATCTATGAATAACTAAGTTGTGCTTTGGTTGGGGTTTATGGATGTATATTAATGTTCAAACAGATATCAGGGCTGAACTAAGATTAGGACACCAAAAAAAAAACAGTTTGAACTTAATCCTGAAATAAGCAGGAAGTAAATATAGACAGGTCAGCATAGATGTAATGTGATTGAAAGCACTACTTTGTAGAAAATTACATGCAGATGTTGAACTGAAGACTTAAAATATCAGTATACGGAGTTGCACTCTAAGCCTGATCCAGTAGAAGAATAATGATGGTGGACTACAAGGAAGTGGGGTAACATGAACATATTTGAATAGAACCGATAAACCATTTTTTGAACTTAAACATAACAGTTCTTGTTTTTACTGGACTGACTGTTGAATTGCAGTATTACACTGACAGTTTTACCAAGGGTAACTTAGGATGTCTATCATTTATTATTATTCTTGCTTAGGATTACATCTTCTCTCATCAAAGGCTTAGTCCATCAGTTTCAACATCATATTTCCTAAAATCCTGCCTTAAGGAAGTTTAATTGTTCTTGAGAATTGGAGAGTAAAAAAAAACGAAATAAAAACGTCATACCTGAGGTTATATGAAGAGCTTCTGGAAGGATGAATGTCAAAATATTAAAAATGGTTTCTGTGTTTTAGTTAATTGTTTATTTATTTTTTTTTTTGGCAGAAAAATCAAAATTATGAAATAGATCAGGATCCAAAAACTTTTAGTGAAAAGAGCAAAATACAAAAACACCGAGTAAAATGAAGAAGCCTTCTGCCCACCAGCCCTGCACTACGCTGTTTTATACACAAGGCAGAAGCAGAAGTTCATAAACTAAACGTATCTGCAGAAGAACA